TTTGAAACTTTAGCTCAAGCTATGTTAAAATTCAGTTCTTCGTATAAATATGTCTAAGTACCTTGTGCTAAGGAAAGTGTTGAACTGAGGTGTACTGCATCCATGTAGTCCGTGGATCAGAATACATTGTGGGTGTCCAGAAGACAAGGGACTGGGCACTCGAGTATAACAAAGTGAGGAGTGTAAATTGCTAGCCTGCCCTGGGGAAGAGTGGGGCTTATGACACCCCGGAGTGGAGTGCTTGTGTTGCTTGCAGTAGGTAGTTCAGGGAGAGTTTTACCCTGGTGGACACAGTCAAGACTCGCTTACTCTGTAAGTAGGTAGTAATGATTCATCCTGGATGTGTCTCATTCATCAATACTGTTGGTATCTTTTGGGGATAAATTTAGGGAAAAAGCTTTCAACAGAGAATCTTAAAAATGGGTGTCAGATGGCATTCTACAAGAGTTCAAGGCAGCCTCCTCTGCCTTTCTGAGATACATACCTATAGTTATTTTAGATATCTGTAGAGCTGCTACTTGGAATTCGATAGATATGTTACATTATTCTCTTGGTAGCTTCTAAATCTAATGCACAATTTGGCAGTGGAGTCTTATAGTCATTTAGACTTCTCCCCACTATGGAAGACAAAGAACTTCTTGCCTGTTGCCTAAAGTGGGATCCGTGTGCATAAGTATTCAAAGAAAAAATGGTGATTTAGTATAAAGTAACTGGTTAGAGAGGTTTTGTCCACATGGATCCCACAGCCTGCCCACCATACACTAATGTGGAGTCCTTTACCATTGTGAAGGAACTGGGAGGCAATTGGGCCACCGCAGACGTTGTCCTCTCCAGCGGTTGCTGCTGGCTAAAAAGAATCTGATATCACATGCATGAGGCGCACACACATCTAGTGTGGGATCTGTGTGGACAAAACTTCTCAAACTACAGTTAAGACAAGAAACCATTTTTTTTCTGTAATGCATATATACACATATACAAAGATTAATCACCTGATGACCTTGAGTACTCTGTGTGTGTACACATACAATACTCAAGGTCATCAAGGGATGAATCTGTAATTCAGGAAGCGGAACTCAATGAAGCTGAAAATTACTTTTTTCTAATATGAGCTACAGTTAAATGGAGTTTTTTAGCTTAGTAAAAGTTAGTGCTGTCTTTTTTAAATTGGAGTACTTTTGTATATCATCCCCGTGTGTAGTACCTGATAGGATACATATTTTAAATACTTGCTGTAAAATGTGAATTCCTAAAGTTTGATTATAATAACTGTTAGTTTGTTGCAACATATTAATAGCTGGGATCATGGCAATCAGCAGGGTTGTCTTCCATAATTGTGAAAACACAAAACAGGTACAGACTTCAAGCTTCCATTTGTTATTCTACTTGCTCTTAATAGTACATCTTAATGACAATACTTTTTTAAGCTACATAGAGGCTAAGGGACATATCACATAATAGTCTGTTTGTTTATAATAAGAAATATAGAAGTAATTGGCTCTAATCTAATATGTATGACTCAAGCTTTCATGTAGGTATACATGGTACAAAATATTTGAACTAAAGGTTTGGTTTAGTAAGGCTTAAGAAAGTTCAGATACTTTTTAAAACAGCGTTCTTGTAGTAACAAAAACTAAGGGAAGGTGCCTAGCTGGTTTGGGCTAGGCTAATATAATCTGTTGCTTACCAAACAGCAAAAGTCTGAATTAGGCAGTATTACTTTCAGTTGCTTGTATTTTTGATCCTCCTTGACTGTGTGTCCAGTCTTGAAGGCTCAGTCAAACCTGTGACTAAGACAAGCTTCTGACTTATGGGATTGTGCAAACTGATTCTGCACTTCTAGATCTACTCCTCTGTGCTGTCCAATCTGAAGTGTTGGAAATGCCAAGTGTAGGGACGACTACAAAACTGATAAGTGTTCTTTGCCATGCAAAGTTGTGGGGATAGCAGATAGAAAAATAAGGGTAAAGTAAAGTAAACAGTGTGGTAGCGTGGGAAATTCTGGTATTATTACTTGATAAGGAAGTAAGATGTTGTGACATGCTCAGAGAGCTGAGGAAGGAGAAGAAATGGAATAAACTCTTGAAGCAATTCTTAACAATACCAAGCTATTGACTTTCTTATGTTTTAGTGAACTCTATCTTTTATGCAGTAAGTACAGAGAAGAAATTTTCTAAGTCCCTTGAATAGACAATAGTGTAGTATTTTTAGAATGGCAACATTAATACTGTGAAGTATCCTAACAGGCTTAAATTGTAACTTGTGTTTGATTTTTTTTTTAATGTTGTTTTAAGTATTAAATAAAAACGGCATCTTATTAGGAAGAGTTCTAGAACATCAAAATCATGCCTGTTATGAATTGTAATTTCTTTCATAAGAAGCAAATAAGAGTCTATTAAAAAAAAAACAGCTTTTTCAATAAGTTTTTGCAATTGTTAGTTTAATATTAACCCTTTTAGTCCTCTTTTTATTTTTGTACATTAAATTCATTCATATATTAATTGTTCTTCCAAAGTCTTTGTTATTAGCAAAGGGTATGTTTGAACTCTAAGACCAAAATGTTGATTTTTAACGTGAGTGACCCATATTCAAGAATTTCATGTGACTGAATATTGGGCTTTACTTTATTATGGCTGGTCTCAAGTCTATGGGAAAATAGATGTCTAGGGAAGACCCCTTATACAGCAAAAGTATGGTATAAACAAAACTGGATGATTGATAAGGGGTACCTACTATTTATTTATGTTCTTTGATAAGAGGTACTTGTTGCAGATGTTTTCTGTAATGGGTAAAATAAGAATCCATTGAAAGATGTTTGCTAACTCAGTAAGAACTGCTGGCTGTCACAGCTGTCAGTAATAGTAACTGGATTAGAATTCCTCTTAGTTTATCAATCATGTAACCCTAAAGATGCCAAAAAAGAAATTCATAAGTAATTAGGTAAAACAAAAATGACAAGAGGACACATGGTGAAATTAATCACGGAAAAGCAACTTTTTCTTCAACAAGGAACAGGGATTATAAAAAACAGGGAACTTGACAAATTAGGTTGGGGATTATAAAACTGCCAGCATCCAACCAGATACAGAGGAGGAGGGGAGAGGCTAGCTCTTCACCTTACACCAAGGGTGGTAATGTATCTGTATTCTGTATAGTGCTGTACTAATCTGGCTGATATTTGATTAAATTCCATTTAAGCCTATTTGACAATCCCGAAGAGTTATTAAATTCAAACATACACAAAAAATATTGGTTTTACAATAGTGCTGTGGGTAGAGGTCAGGAATGTTGTGTTCTTGCTCCATCTTTTATTCCTTGGACAAGTAACTTAACATGTATTTGCATCAATTTTGGGAGCACAATTTTGGTGTACTATGCACAATTCTTACCCAGCTCTATAAAGTACTTTGAGATCTCTGAACAATAAGAACTCGGTGAGCTAACCGCTATTATTTACTACTATTGTACTTTTAGGATTAAGACCATGTATGTACTACCATTTTTGCTGGGAAAACTTAAGTCACTTAGGGGTGTGAAAAAACCATGTCCCTGATCGACATAAGTTTTGCTGGCATAAGTGCTTATGTGCACAGCGCTATGTCAGTGGGAGAGCTTCTCTTGCCGTCATGGCTACCGCCGCTTGTTTATGTGGTTTTATTATGTTGATGGGATAGCTCTCTTCTGTCAGCATACAGCGGCTAAATGAGCGATTTTACAGCAGTGCAGCTGCATTTGGTACAGCTGTGACACTGTAAGTTCGCTAATATAGACATGGCCTAAATGTTAGCTTTTTTTCTATTCCTCTCCCTCCCCCCCCCAGTAGACATGTTATGTACTGACTCTCATTTGGTATGCTTTTGGTGTCTCAACGTGCTTCTGGACAACTGTTATAAGTCTTCGTGCTCGTGCACCACAGTTTGAGAGCCCTCTAACTACCCAGGAGAAGGGCTGGGCCTCAAACACGTGAGTGTATGTGGAGCAAACAACTAATTTTTACATAACTTATTTTCTTTAAAATACCCCTTTTTCTAGCTACTTTGATTGTGAAGGTAACCTTCCAAATGTAAACTAAGTATAACTCGCTTTCCATGGCAGCAACACACAGAAAATTTACAAATTGCCTGGCTAGTTACTTGATCCAATTCAGAGCTCTGAGCAGCTGTGAAACTGCCAAGACCTACATATGTTTCATTTGACGGGTGCTTGTTCTGCTATAATGAAGGAATTGGCTATTCAGGGGAGGGGGACTTTAAAGCAACACCTACCCTCTTGAAGCAACCAGGAGGCTGCTGGAGAAAATAGATAGTAGCAGAGACATCCCCTGCATCTGGATGGGTGAAGGGGCAAGTACCTTTTTTCTCTAGGAGCCAGCAGCACCTTAAATTTTAATCTGGCAGCCCCTAACCGGAGGCTGATACAGAGGATTGACCACCTATCTGAGTACAGGGGCAGTGGCCTGGTAAAAATCTTTGCAGTCTCCTTTCCAGTGGTGGGTGGTGGTGGTGGTGATGGGCTTCCATCTAGTGCATTGACTTTGCATGGTTACACTCTCATTTTCTATCAGTTACTACATAGAAGATTTTAAACTCAAGGTTACTCAATTGGTAAGAGTTAACTTTATATTTTTTACTGGGATATATTGCTGAGGTTTGGTCAAATAATATTTGGGCATACAAGATAAAAGGTCCGCGTGCTAAATAAATCTCTGAATTGATGTCCCTTATTCCCTTTGTCCCAGGTAATAAAAACAAAAAAGATACCTATCGATGCAAACTTTAAAGTACACATTGTATTGGAGCAGCTGATTTTTTTTTTTTTAAATGTCTAAAGATGAGTAGAATAGGTCTCATTATAAAAACGTTAAAAATCAAATTGTAAAGGCTAGCTGTTGGTCAAACATGTCAGACACTTAACTTTTTAACAAAGTATGTGTGAAAACTATTGTGGTTGAATATAATATGAATGACTGGTGATACACGTTCACTGTTTTTTGTTTGCAGTTGGATAGATTTGCCAGCATAAGGATTCCAGGCAGTAGAAAAGAAAGACCTCCTTTATTGCAGCTGAAACAATCACATTCCTCTATTGATTGGTCATCACCTCCTGCAGATGTGGATGAGTTCATCCCCAAACCCTTGTCAGAGCGAGAAATCCTAGCACTTTTTGAAAAAATGATGGTAAGAGTCCCATATCACTGTTTAATACTTAGTGGTGAATTTTAGATGTCTTTCATTTAGAGAATTACACCATGACTAATGTCTGTTCACTTGAAGGTCATTGTCAATGTATGAATGAAAGTCTCTCTTTTTTTGTCCCTAATTGAATGAAGAATATGTATCAAGATGTAAAGGCAAACCGGGAATCATCATCAAGTGGTGGTGTTTCTTGTGGGATCTTAGCCCTGTGCTCTTTTTTTTTTTTTTATCAGTGACCTGGAAGAAGACACACAATCATAACTTACCAATTTGCAGATGAGACAAACAGTAAATAATGAAAACTACAGTTCACTTTTATAGTGCAATCTGGATAGCTTGTAAACCAGGTACAAGCAAACAGTACCCTCATCTGGCTTTCAGTACTTCTAAATGCATCCTATCCCAGGATCCTTGGTGGTAGCTGCTGTTTGAGTGATCTAGACAGTAAGGGCCACCAAAATGGACACCACAAGCTGAAAGGACTATCTGTTGTAGGGGTGACCATTTATCCAGTTTGTCCAGATCATTTTGAATTTTAATCATATCCTCCAAAGCACTTGCAACCCCTTTTAGGTTGGTATTGTTGGCAAACTTTATAAATGTACTCTTTATGCCATTATCTAAATCATTAATGAAGATATTAAACAATACTGGACCCAGGACCAATCCCGGTGGGACTCCACTCAACATGTCCTTCCAGCTTGATTGTGAACCATTTGGAATAGTTTTCCAACCAGGTATGCACCCGCCTTATAGTAGCTCCATCTAGGCTCTATTTCCCTAATTTGTTTATGAGAAGGTCACGTGAGACAGTATCTGAAGTGGAGATATATCACATCTACCGCTTCCCCCCCGTCTCCACAATGCTTATTATCCCATCAAAGAAAGCTATTTGATTGGTTTGACATGATTTGTTGAAAAATCCATGATGGTTACTTATCGCCTTATTGTTCTAGGCGTTGGCAAATTGATTGCTTGATTATTTGCTCCATTATCTTTCCGGGTACTGAAGTTAAGATGACTGATCTATAATTCCCCAGGTTGTCCTTATTCCCTTTTTTGGCACTATATTTTCCCTTTTTCATTTTTCGTGAGTTTTCAAAGATAATCATTAATGGCTCAGATATCTCCTCAGTCAGCTCCTTTAGTATGCTAGGATGTATTTCATGAGGACCTGGTGACTTGAAGACATATAATTGTCTAAAGCAACAAAGAGTCCTGTGGCACCTTATAGACTAACAAATGTATTGGAGCATAAGCTTTCGTGGGTGAATACCCACTTCGTTAGACACATGCATCTGACAAAGTGGGTATTCACCCACAAAAGCTTATGCTCCAATACATTTGTTAGTCTATAAGGTGCCACAGGACTCTTTGTTGCTTTTTACAGATCCAGACTAACACGGCTACCCCTCTGATAACTAAGTAATTTTTAACTTGATGTTGACGTATTTTAGCATCAGATCCTACCTCGTTTTCCCTGGTGGTCACGATGTTAGATGTCCGATTGCTACTAACCCTTTTGGTGAAAACTGAATCAAAGTCATTCAACACTTTAGCAATTTCCACATTTTATGTTGTCTTTTCCCCCTCATTGGCTAAGGGGCCTACCCTGTTCTTCGTCTTCCTCTTGCTTTTAATGTATTTGTAGAATGTTTTCTTGTTACTCTTCGTCTCTAACTAGTTTAATCTCATTTTATGTCTTGGCTTGTGGTGTTTGTTTATATTCATCCTTTGTAATTTGACCTAGTTTCCACTTTTTGTAGGATTCTTTTTAGTTTCAGATCATTGAAGATCTTCTGGTTAAGCCAGGGCGGTCTCTTGCCATACTTCCAATGTTTACTACGTGTTGGGATAGGTGGCTATTTTGCCCGTATTAATGTCCCTTGAGCTGTTTTTCCCCTCAGACTAGGTTCCTATGGGATCTTGCCTATCAACTGCCTGAGTTAGCTAAAGTCTGCCTTCTTTAAAACCCATTATCTTTATTGTGCTGTTTTCCCTCCTACCATTCCTTAGAATCATGAACTCAATTATTTCATGATCACTTTCACCCAAGCTGCCTTCCACTTTCAAATTCTCAACCATTTCCTCCCTATTTGTCAAAATTAAATCTAGAACAGTTTCTCCGCTAGTTACGTTCTCCACCTTCTGAAATCAAATATTGTCTCAAAAGCATTGGATAATCTGTGCCCTGCTGTATTTTTTCCCATAGATATCTGGGTAGATGAAGTCACCCATCACCACTAAGTTGTGTGTTTTGGATGATTTTGTTAGGTTTTTTTTTTTTTTTTTAATTCTTATCCACCTCTTTTTTCCCCCCCCCCTCCTGATTAGGTGGTCTGTAGTAAACCCGTACCATGACATCACCCTTGTTTTTACCCTTTTATCGTTACCCAGAGATTTTCAACGAGTCCGTCTCCTATTTTCATCTCAACCTCAGTCTAAGTGTATACATTTTTGGTATACAAGGGAATACCGTTTCCTTTTTCCCTGCTTGTCCTTCCTGAACAAACAGTATGCTTCTATACCAATATTCCAGTCGTGTGTTATCCCACCAAGTTTCTGTGGTGCCAACTGTCATTTCTAGTTCTTTCTGTTTATTCCCCGTACTTCGTGCATTAGTATACAGACATCTAACATACTGATTTGATTTCCCCTCTATGTTCTCTCTCTCTCGCTTTTGCCTTGTCTCTGATATAATTGGCCATACTCCCCCCAGATTCCAACCCTTCTCCCAGGTCTCCATGTTTTTGACTTATGTGTGGGCTTTTGTTTCCTGCCCTTGTTGAGCCTAGTTTAAAGCCCTCCTCACTAGATTAGTTAGTCTGATCTAGAGATACTCTTCTTCCTCTACAGGAAGTTGGGGCGGGATTCGGCAAAGATGGTAGAGCTGGTGTGGCAGGGGGTGCGTGCGCAAAATTTTTTTACTGATGGGGGTGAGCGATCAAAAAAGTTTGGAGACCACTGCCTTAGAGGATGCATAATACAAGAACAGTAGGTTTTTCCTTTGCATGAGTAGCCCCATTTCACAGGCAGCATAGTCAAGGACAAAAAGTTGTCTGATTCTTTGAGAGGCAGCGTCACAAAGGGGATGGAATTTGGTATTGCCATATTGGAGTGTTCGGTTCTGTTCTGTGTGTTGAACCTCTCAGTGGGACCCAAGGCTTTGCCTGATTAGATTCTGTACCAATTGCAACTTACTTAGTCAGCTTAGTTCTCAAGTGTCCTGGCTTTGAGAGTAGATAAGTATCAGGTCAGGATAAGATATCTTAGACAAGTATGACTGTTTCTTGTCTAAGATCTTTTTATGGATCAGCTCTATTTGGGATATCAAGATAGTGGCGTTTTGAGCATAATAAAAGGATAGAATTCTCCTTTTCTAAGAACAGCTGGATACAATCTAAAGTATTCTCAGAAGACAATCCTTTTTTTTTTGTTTTTGTTTAAATGGGCGAAAGTGGGCCTGCAAAGACTAGGGCAGTTCCACGAGAGCAAATAGGGAACATATGTTAAAAAGAATGTTCAGTATGTAGATTACAACAATTTTTGTTATATAAAATTAAAACCTATTTCAACCACTAAGAAATGGTGGGCTCAGTGAATTTTATAAGCAAGAAAGGTAAATGTAATTACATAAATGGGAACAAGCTCTATATAAGGCCCTTAGAGCACTTGATCCCTGTTTTGGCTTAGAGTAAATTTTCCCCTGTAGTTCCGGGGACAGAATAGGCCCACTGCTCCTCCTGCAGGATGTTAGAGGCGACTAAAAAGGGGCTACCTGGAGAGGGATGCGCTCCGCCAGGTTAGAAATTTGTCCAAGACACACCATATGATGAGCAAGGCAACGATGTCTATAGCGTATTAATCACAGCCCAGGTTAATAATGACCACGCCATCCATCTCCCACCAGGGCAGACGCGACTAGTATACTATGGTGTAACCCCAAGAAAGAGGATCCGTGGAAGAAATAACATCACCATAGCCACATGAAATGTAAGGACATTGAGACAAATAGGGAGGTTGAAAGAACTCACATATGAAATGGAACAATACACCTGGCACCTCCTAGGAATCTCTGAGGTCAGATGGAAGAACTTTGGAGAGGTACTAACGAAAGAAGGCCATGTACTCTATTACAGTGGAGAGGACAGACTTGTCAACAGCGTAGGATTTCTTGTGCATAAAGATATCAATAATTCAGTATTAGGATGCCACCCAATGTCCAGCAGGCTTATTTCCATCTGTCTAAAGGCAGGACCGTTTAATATCACAATGGCTACAACAGACTATGATGATGAGCAAATTGAAGATTTTTACAATCAGCTCCAAGACCTCATCGATAAGGTACACAAGAAAGATATCCTGATTGTACAAGGAGATTGGAATGCTGAAGTGGGTACTGACGCACAGGCAGATTGGCGAGATTATTGTGGCCCTTTCTGTAATGCAGTAACCAGTGAGAGAGGATGGAGACTTCTGGAGTTTGCCAGCTATAACAATCTGGTTCTTGCAAACACATTAGGAGCACATAAAGCATCAAGACGATCTATATGGCACGCACCTAATGGTCTACATCACAGCCAGATCGACTACACCATGGTGCAAAACCAATTTCATTCTGGGATTAACAGAGCTAAAACGAGGAGTTTCCCCGGTGTTAATATTGGAAGTGATTACGACCTTGTGATGCTAAAAATTTGACTGCGGCTAAGGAAAATCATCAGGCCAAAGTTCACCAGAACCAAGCTTGACTTGAAGACTCAGAGACCGAAATATTGCAGAGTCATTCCAGTGGTCGGCGGAAAATTTGTCCCGCTGCTTGCTCTAGAGGAAGACGTAGAAACAATGACCAACAATTTCAACGCTGTAATGAATAAGGCAGCAATGGACATCCTTGGGAAACACCGTAAGAAGACAAAACCATGGGTCATAAATGAAATACTACAAATGTGTGACGTTAGAAGAGAACTTG